ACCAATACACATATTCCAGTTGTTATTGGAGCTCAAATGCGCTATGAAGTTACTGGTGATCCCTTATATAAGGTAATTTTCTTTATTTGTATTCCATTCACTAATATAAGCTTTAAATGAACTATGAAGAGTGTTGTTGAATATAGCATACTCTTCAAGTTGTCTTTGAATCACTGTTCATGTAAAATTGTGTTTTCTATCATTGAAAAATTAAAAGCAGGAGATGATAACCTTGCTTTTCAAGCATAATGTTGATAAATGGTCTTTCATTGAGCAATAATGCTTCTCCTTCACTCTATTAATCATATAAGGAATAATTTTAAAGCTGCCTCTCATGTTTCAGATAACAGTGGAAACTTCAAGATCACAATAACTGGTGGACTCTTTGACATCCAAACTAGTTTGAAATGTTGTTTGTTTTGGTTCTCTCTTATAGTTAACAATGATTGATGGTGGTTTGCAAAATATCTTATACTTTTAATTATTTCAAGATCACATGTTATTTACATTGCATTATGGGAATAGGATTCCAACACACTTGTTGGACAGCATGGTCAGCATGTTTCCTGCCTATCATGCAATTACCATACTATTTCTGTCTCGAATTTTGACATTTTGGTTATGTTGGTCATTAGGAAATAGGAACATACTTCATGGATATGATCAACTCATCCCATGCCTATGCAACTGGAGGAACATCAGTCGGCGAGTTCTGGTAGAAATATTTATCCTTGAATAAGTACAATACAATTATCTCATTTAGAAGTCTTTTGACTCCACACATTTATTTTGTTGTTTGCCCATTCTGTTTTCCAGCTTTCTGTCTGGTTTTCTTTCGGAAAGTGTTTCATACTGCCTTTTGTCCTGATTTATGTCTGAGCAGGTCAGATCCAAGGCGATTAGCTAGTACTCTGCAAACTGAGAATGAGGAGTCATGTACAACATATAACATGCTCAAGGTATGCTATGAAGGGCTTATTTTTGCCCCCTTTCCTTTGCCCTCATTTTGGTTAACCTTGGAAGGTTGGTGATGTGGGGTGGCAAGACAGTTCTCTTATGTCCTTTGGTTTTTATCAGTTTTCATGGTTTTAACATTCTAAAACAAACCAACATACGGAAAACTTAACAAGGGAACAGGCTATTGACTCATGTGCATTGGCTTTTTCTCTGATGTACTATACGTAGTACCACTACTAATTAACATTGCTGTTGTCATGTAAAATTGCAGGTATCTCGCAATCTATTTAGATGGACCAAAGACATTAGGTATGCAGATTACTATGAAAGGGCATTGACAAATGGAGTACTGAGCATACAAAGAGGAAGGGAACCTGGAGTTATGATCTATATGCTTCCTCTTAAACGTGGGGGTTCGAAAGCCCAAAGTTACCATAAATGGGGCTCACAGTTTGATGATTTCTGGTGCTGCTACGGTACAGGTACAAGCATTGGCCTCAAGTTTGCATCTCGCTACCCTTTTTTCTGTTAAATTTTTTTGAGGGCCCTACTGATTGGAGCTGGGGAACAATTTCCTTATTGAAATTTTAACAATTACGCAGTTGAAGAGTGAATGTTCTAGAAATTCGAAAAAAGAAAATCTGCCCCCCAGCCCCTCAAAAAAAGAATGGTTTATGCAATCATTTACATCTAGTTTATAACGTCTCCAATCCCAATTTGTTTGCTATTCTGACCAATTGCCAATGGAATTTTCTACCATATTGAAGGTTAACTTTTCCTTGATCAATTGCTTTTTGTAAATTTTTGTACTCTAGGAATTGAGTCTTTCTCAAAGTTAGGAGATTCAATATACTTCGAAGAGGAGGGAAAAGTTCCAGGTCTTTATATCATTCAGTATATACCAAGCTCATTTCAGTGGAGATCTGGAGGATTTCTAATCAACCAGACCATAATCCCTGTTGTCTCGTGGGACAACCGCCTTCGTGTGACAGTGGCAATTTCTTCAGAGGTATATTTTCTAAATCTTGGAGAACTAATATTTTTCTCCTTGAGTTATACAATGCTTTATTAGTTTAGAATGTTACCATTAGCACCTTGTAGGTATATTATATTCTGTCTAAAATTTCTAATGCCATTTGTTGAGGAGTTGGGGGCACAAATAATAATTTACTTAATGTTGGTGACTTAATATCTTTGAGTTAGCTAAACTTATTGTGGGAAGGGAAAACGAAATACAAGTCTTTCAGAAATGCATATGTTTTTTGCTTCATGCATAGCTGAAATAGCAAGTTCTTTTTCATTTTAACTAAGGAGACTAAAGAACTGAAGACAGTAAGATGCTATATTTAGTTTCAAAAGGAAGAAGGAAAATCAAGGGAATTTATGAGATTCCAGTAATGAAGGATTGGAGAGAGGTCTTTCTAATTTCTAATTATTTAGACTGTAATTTTCTTGGAATTAGAGAGGGCCCCACTGTATAGAGCTGATTGAAACAGCCTGTTCTAGCGGAAATGGTTTTGACATTTTATGTTTTTTCGTTAAGAAAAAAAATGCATCTTATGCAAAACACAGACGTATATAAATTCTAGCCAGGAGTTGTTTGATTGAAAAATAGAGTGATGACTCAAGATGGAAGGTTCTGATATAGCATGAATGTGCATGGTTCTCATACCACTATAGTGGGATAGGTTCAAGCTAATGTTCTGATATAGCCAAAAGTTGTTTGCTTTCCATTCACGTTTTCATTGTTATTAATTGTTCATGAAAAGCTTGGATGCATCACTATCTGCTTACAAAAGGATAATTCAAAATTGTAAAGCCTATAAGCTGCTACATACCTGTGAAAATAACTTCTCTATGCATCTTTCCTTAAGAGCCTTTCGGGGAATATTCCAGAGTAAATTTTAGAAGTTCTGCAAATCAAAAGCTAATTTCTTGCATCTAATGTCTTATTTGTTTATACATCTATCTTTAGTTCTTGCTGTGAAGGAATCGTTTGAACTGGATTATCATTTTTTTGTCTTATTCCTGAAGTCTTAACTTTTACTGGCAAATATCTCATCATGTTCTCCATCTTTCGAGTGCTCAATTCAATGGATCTGACAAACACAAAATTATTTCCATCTGTTGCTCATGCAGCAAGAGGCAGCTGTGGTGTCTACTTTGAATTTGAGAATACCAACATGGACAAGTACAAATGTTGCCAAGGCAATACTGAATAGTCAAGATTTGATCCTGCCAGTGCCTGGTGTGCTTATTATCTCCATTTTTGTTCATATTACTTAATTTAGAAACGACTTACCTAATTGATATTTTTCCAATTATTGTAAGCATGAATGTAACTTGCTCATGGTGGATGGCAATAATATTCATCTGTGGTTTAGATTAGTTCCATATTGTTCCAGGATCCTTAGCATGATGTTCATGACTTCCCATTATTGGATGCAGGAAACTTTCTCTCTGTCACTAGAAAGTGGAGCCCTGGTGACAAAGTCACTCTTGAGTTTCCCTTAAGTCTTAGACTTGAAGCCATTAAAGGTGTAATATATTGTAGTTTCTTTATTATCACATACATCAGCTACAGTGTCTATTAATTATTCTTATTTTTATGGAACAAGAAATTTTCCTGCATTGTTTTACATCTAAGAGATTATTCTGAATGGTTATTCAGATGATCGGCCAGAATATGCTTCTCTCCAGGCAATTCTTTATGGTCCCTACCTTCTTGTTGGTCTGTCTAGTGGAGACTGGGACATCAAGACAGAGCCCGGTGCATCTCTTGCAGACTGGATTACTCCAATTCCAGCAGACTACAATGCTCATCTGATTTCTCTATCCCAAGTGTCTGGGGAGGCGGAGTTTTCCCTGACAAAATCAGATGACTCCATCCAATTGCAGAAGCTTCCTGAACCTGGAACAAATGATGCTGTAGGTGCGACATTCAGGCTTATCCTAAAAGAACCATCAGACGTATTTGCATCGCCAGAAGATGCTATAGGGAAATCAGTCATGCTAGAGCCATATGGTTTTCCTGGAATGCTTGTGGAGAATCAAGGTGTAGATGAAACACTCCGAGTTGTTCCAGACTCGTCCAATGACAAGGATGCAGCTATCTTCCATTTGGTGTCTGGGCTGGATGGGATGGACGGAACCATTTCTTTGGAATCCGAAAACCATAAGGGTTGTTATGTAAGTAGTGGCCTGAATGATGGTTCAAATAACATCACACTTTCCTGCAAATCTGGATCCTCAAATGCTGACTTCTCACAGGCAGTGAGCTTTAAATTGGACAAGGGAATCAGTGAATACCATCCCATTAGCTTTGTTGCCAAAGGCACAGATAGAAACTTTCTCCTGGCTCCATTATTTAGCTTGAGAGATGAATCTTACACTGTCTATTTCAACATTCAATGATAGAGTATAGTTTGCCAGCTGAAGTAGATTATAAGAAAAACTAATTAAGTGAGACTTGTTGCGCTTTATAATTCATATCGTTCTTAGGCTAGAGTCAAGTAATTGTAACTATATGAAATGTAATACATACATGGAATGTTACAAAGGTAAGGCTCGTTCTGAGTTTGAATCGTCTTTCTTATAATCTGGCTGTTATGCCTAATTTGTAGTAATGAGACATGTAAGTGTTTACCATACAAAATTAATTTGCTCTTTTTTTTTTGTGGTTGTTTTGGTAGAAGAGGGGGGGGGGGGAGGCCTCTGAGCATGTTGAAAGTTACCTATTAAGAAAAAGGGCTGAAGCTTAGCATCTCTTGATAGAATTTATTGTTTCTACCTTTGCAATGGAATTTTCTGCTCCTGCATTCAACAGAAATTTTGTTCTTTTGCAGTGCACAATTGAAGAGAGTTATGCAAGGAAATATGCTTTACTGTAACCTGCTCTCTACATATTTCAATTTCCATGGCAATGTTCTCAGGTCGCCAATAACTGTTCATGTAACTTTTCCAATATTAAAAACACCAAGATAGTAGCCAGTGCCGCAAACTGTGATCCCACCAAATCCAGTGGGTAATTAGGTCCAGCCAACTTCAGAGAAAAGGATCAGAGACCATACCACTCAATACTGTTTTGCAAGAAAATTGCGAACCTTGGTACTTCATGTGCCAAAGCTCCACTGATGGACATAATTTCAATTGCACAATCTAAGAAACACTACGCTCATTAGACCAAATAGAGATTATTTAAGAAATACAAGCAAACAAAAGAAATTTCTTCAAATGAAAAACCTGCCAAATGGGCAGACATAACTATTTGTACAACTCCAGGACCCCAAGACTACCCACACAACATTCTAACTTTATGTCTTTAAATCCAGCTCTGATAGCCAAGGCCCGAACATCAGATTCTGATCGCTCTTTCCCTCCAGGATTTTGAGTCATCATGAGAGCATCAGTCTGGAAAATGCCTTTTACAAAGGCACTAGTATCAGGTTTTACGGGTAGAACCAAATCAACAACGATGACTTTGCCATGATCTGGTAGAGCTTTGAAGCAGTTCTTCAGCAGCTTTAAGCAGTGATCATCACTCCAATCATGGAGTATCATCTGGGACAAAATTGTGAATCAAGTTTACATTTTTTTTTTGTCGATACGATAGATTCTATGCTACAACTATTCCTACTCTAAACTACGTGGAGGGGGGACCTAAACAGGTCAAGGGGAATCCGGTGAACCACCACCGGTCCAGATGGGTGAATGAAGTTTACATGAGGACATCTTATATTGACATCGCTCATTCTAATAATAATGCAGTGAGAAGGCAGGACAACTGAGTTTTCATCTCTGTATGACAGTTAATGGTTTATATTGCATTTTCATTCATAAGCTAATTGCCATAGAGTTTTATTATTGGTTTTATACTAAACTAGAAAATCACCTAAGCTAGAAAGCAAAAAATTAAGAAACATCCTACACAGCATATTATACATGTCTCCCATCATACAACAATAACTTAAAAAGTAACATAAAAATTTATAATCATCCCTTATTGAAAATCCATGTTGTATGAAATCTATGGATTAACTAATACTGCTTTAAGAGTGACATTTTTTATTACCCCTCATATACATATGCACACTAAGTAAACAATATCCTGTGGTAATTCAAGAGGTCGACTTGCAAGGTTCTTGAATTGCATCAGCAGTTACTTGCACACAAAAATTTCACAGGAGAATAATCAGCAAATTAAACTTTTATAATGATACTTTTTACTTCATCAAATCTATAAAGAGTAAATTGATGCAGAATAAAAGAGGTTACCTTCATAAAAATAGCATCTCCTCCAGGAACGCTTTCAAACATGTCTCCACCAATGTGTTCCACTCCTGCAACAAATTTTTTGATAAGATAGAAATTACAGTACAACTACATCATAAAATTTCATATACTGGAAATGATGGTTTTTCATCATCGTGTTTGTGAACAGTTAATGTAAATGCACCAAATAAATGAACTTTTACGCATATATGTGAACACACATCTCGATGATTAGTACATCTGAAATGTAACAAGCTGCTTCATTGAACGTAATAAAAGTGATAGCATGAGTGGAAATACTCTGAAGTTCACTCTCCTACCACCATGAACCAATCTGTGCATTATGGAATTCTATGTTAGGAACTCACACAAGCTTCTACTCTTAATTTGACTTCAATGTCTATGAATTCTATTTTCTTTGCCAAACCAAAACTTTTATCTTTTTATCCAATCAAATAAAAGTATATGAAAAAAGAAACGGATAAACAAGTCCATATAAGAATCTTTGTTCATTCCTTCAGGCAACACCTACACATCTTAATTTCAATTAGCATCAAGGAAAAGTTTCTGTTTCCTCTTATTGTATTAAGCTGAACAAAGACTTAAAGTGAACTTGTGGTCCTTGTGATTAGCATTCATAATTTAGATGTGTTCTGTATAGAAAAAATTATTCTGATACAAAACATGACATACTCAGATAATGATGTGTGAGTTCCCTTGCACATGGGACATGTTGTTGAAAATAAATAAAATTAGAATTCTTCTGCAACAAGGAATTTGAGAAAAGCTTCTATCTCAAATTTGCTAATTATGGATATTAGAAACAATTTTCATTTTGTAGAATGAAGTTATCTAAGAAAAGATTTTACTCCAATTTTGTGAAATTCCTTACATCAAAATCAACTGTTTTTGTGAATGCTTACATGGTACACACAAAGAAACATGAAGACTATCAAAGTCTTGATAGAGGAAATTTACCAAGATAGGATGGCGCGTTTTCAATGACATGTGGAAGATCAAAATTGATACCCCTTATAGAAGGGTATTTTGATATAATCTTGTGAAGGGTTATTCCAAGACCACCACCAACATCAACCAATGTCTGAAGGTGCTCAAATCCTTTATATTGTTGAAGCAATTTTTTCATTGTTATGGCTGTAGGACCAACCATTCCCTTGTTGAAAAGCTCATTATACCTGGGATCTCTACTAGGGTAGTCAAATGCGTGCATTCCATGAACTCTATTAAATGGAATCCCTCCTTCAAGCAAAGAATTCCCAAGTTCATACCTAAAAAAAGAGCTATGTATTAACTTACCATATTGGATTCATGGAAAAGGTTAATGACTTGGCTATTTATCGCGCACATCTAGGAAATTACTTCAGGACTTCAGTATCAATATGCCAAGAGACAGGCAAAGCGCATAAGTAAACAATGAACTATAGACCAATATGAAATTAAAAATCCTTAAATAGATCAGGCCATTGCAAAGATTACATTGGATGAAAATCAAGTAGAGTCTTTGTCATCGAAACACCATGCCTGTAACCAATGATCTGTAGTAGCCCATTGAACTGCAAGATATATCTTTTACCATTTTCTGAGGCTTGAAAAATAGGAAAATCTTATTATATATTATCAAAAGCATGGGAAATTTTTCACATGGTAATATGAACAAAAAAGGAATTTTTGCATGGGCCTAACTGTATTGCAAGGGTTTCATATATCTAGAGTCTATGTTACACATTTTAGAACTACTATTCTTCCTTTTTCTATTCCTTTCTAGCAGATTAATAATTCATCTATATGTTAAGCCTTCAATGAATTACCCACAATCACTCCCCTCCATCCCACCTGATAACGTTGTCACCCTTGCTGATTTAGCCTTGGGACTTATTTTGTATTGAATAATTTATATCATTTTATAGAGCTTTTATACAATTTGATTAGTAGCAACTTCCACAGAGGCAAGATGTAAAGGCTAATTAAGAGATACCCCCACAATGAATGTCACCTTCTCACTTTGCACCCCTCATTGTCCTATTGGCTCAATCTGTCCGTGAGGTTTTCAGATAGCATCATGTGATACCACTATCCAAGTAGCCCCAAATTAAATACTATTTGATCAATGAAATGCACTTTTAGCAGAAAAGCACAATTAAATCTTCAATGAAAGAATAACTATTTGTGGATATGGGTAGAAAAATATGCACAACGTTGAGGCCTTGATCTAGCAGCTAAGGTTAAGGCACCAAGGAATTAGAGGTTCTGGGTTCAAATCTCCTTCTCCTTCCTCCTTCTTGAATCCCGTCCATCCCCTCCTAGAAAAAAATTAAAAAAAAAAAACAAAAACACAAGAGGACCCTATTAGTCCTTTCTTTTGTCTACCAGGTGACAAGATACAGATTTTACAAAATCATCAATTTCATTAAGGACATATTTATCTTTTGTTCTTCCATGACTTAATCCATTCTAATTCATGGTTTTTAGGTTGGTCGTATTATTACATCAGAAAATTTGCAAACTACGGATGTGTTGATCAAATTGGAAGATGTGGGCAGCAATAAAATTACGTTTTCTGAAGGGGAATTTTGTAGTTAATTTAAACGTATACAATGATTAACAAGCTTCACAGAAATCCAACAAGATGACAAAGACTCAGGTTGATCTATTCAGTACAACAAAATCAAGAAATCTCGGACTTGATCCATCAGTTTTCCATTTTTTTTAAATAATTTCTCACCAAAATCCAGAAGAAAAACAGAATTTCCCGAACTTTATGCACAAAAATACTAATGCAAAGCATTCTCAGAAAATCGAACCAGCTTACCAGCTATCAATCAAGACCTTATCTTGAAGCAACTCCATGGCAGGCGCCACTGAGTTCCCCTCCTCATCCGGCACAAAATATTCTGCTACCGGAGACAACCCGTAAACTCTTACATATCCAACATCGGTTTCCCCACCAGCACGTTCCCCGGCAACCTCAACTACGTCGCAAGTGAGCAGCGAGTAACAAGAAACTAATTACGTAATTGTGCCAATCTTTCAATTGATAATTCGACAAAGGAATCATGTCAATCTTCTGCAAATCCCCAGATTAGTCAAGTTTGGACCCGCTTTAGACGGTCAAATCTTCAGATTGTCCGGTAATCCTGTTTACATCATTTAGTTACATAACTAAACATCTTATGGAATCATATCAGTTCTGATGACAGATTGAATAAATTATTCTCCGCTTTGGATTTTGTTCATAGTAATTAAATAGATTATTTGGTTACGTAGGAGTACTTTCTTTTGTTTTTCTCACTCCACAATTTTTTATTTGTGAAATGAGGTTTGCAGGGTGGCTAATTTGAGAATCCTCATCTTTTATACATGACTAAGTAACAAGTCAATCAAGTCATCCAATATAGCGTCGACAAAAACTAATTATATTCCACGTTTGACGACAAGATTAAGGATATATATATATGTACAATATATATATATATAAAGAAGCATAAGAGACCTCGGAATAACTTGGATAATATAAAGTATATTTATCTGCTTGGATTGTTTCTCTCTTCATGATCATATGATTATTTTACTTCTTTATTCTTATTGATATTTGTCTTCACAATCCTTAGCTAGCTTTTATTAGGCTGTGGACAAATAAGGTGATAATTTCACATTTTAGTAGCATTCCTCCATAAGCAAGTCTTGCTTCATTAGTAGCTTTTGTGCTTTTATTTTATAATTTTTAAAATTTGTTTCTCTTTTTGTAGTTTTTGAAGAAAGCAAATCTTTTTGGTGAGGGAAGGGTAGTTGAAAAACAAGACCCCCGATTACTTTCAAAACTATCGTTGCTTATTCTGTTTGTAATTCTTTTTCTCAAATGTAATTCTGTTTGAATTACTATTTTTTTAAAATTTTTATAAAAAAAATATATTGTAATAATTTGAAGTATGTGAGGTAAAAGATGATTAAAAATATGTTCACAAAAAACGCAAAAAAATTGTCTTTAAAAAAGTCCAATTCAAACAAGGAATTTACTGTAATGATTTTCTTGGACTGCATTTTCTTGGATTTTTTATAGAAAAATTACTGCAACGATTTGATGTATGTGAGGAAAAAAGGTAATAGGGAAATATAATCACGAAAAACGATGCAATTTTCTGGCAGAAAATGGCTGTCCAAACGGGGCCTTATTTAAGTTAAGAGAAAATGTCAAGTTGCGTTAAAGGGCATATCTACTGGTGGCTTGTTATATCACAACATAAATTCAAGCCTCATTTTCTTTAGCATAGCCCTTAGAGTTCTTAAGAAACTGAATAACAAATAGCTTGACCTTGGAATAGTTCTGTTTCTCAATGTTTCTAAACCGGGACTTCGAGTAAATTGGACGAGTTTTCCATCAAAGTTGAGCCGGTTCAATCGGTCCAGTCTTGATCAAAGAATTAAATTTTTACTTATTTTAAAATTATACAACTTGGATAACATTGAAATGTATTTAAAAAAAAAAAAAGGAAAAAATTAGCCAAAACCAATTCAACGGTTCAAGTTTACTAATTTTGATCAATTCAAATCGATTCTTGATTAGGTTTGACTAGTTCAATTTAACTTTTTGAGTTTAATAGAAAATTGGATCAGTATCATCATGATCAACTCACGATCAAGCAATCGAACCAACCGAGCTGATGTAGTTTTCAAAACATGCTGCTTATTATGCATACGGTTCACATAATACCAAACTATTTCAGTTTGAGACAAATAAAATAACTACATGGATAAAGAAAGATGTACAGATGTATTCCTCTTCATCTCAGCCTCCACTAAACGGGACTAAAGATGCTGGTGTGTCTATGGCATGCATGATGCAACGGCTGCCATGGCTGGGGAGGTCCATCTGGTGCAGCTATTGTGGAATTTTAGTCAATGCATGCGATGTTTGATAGAATTTGGTGCATTGGATTGAATGAAAGATGCCAAACTCGAATTATCACCATGTCATTTTCTCAAGAAATTGGAGTCAACGTAAGACTGTTTAGTGGCAACTTCGTTGCCGCTTTTGACAAGTCAAAATTAATTGCAATGTATACATTATTGTTCCCAAAAATAAAAGTTAAAATCCCAAAATCCAGCAAGCAAGAACTTTTGTTGCTTCCTAGCTCCAAGGATGATGTGAGTGACCCTCTCTCAAAAGGAAAGTAGAAGACGAAAAAAATGAAATGAACGAAGCACAAAAATGATGGAGGTGAAAGAAGCATTGATCCCTCAACTTATTTTGATATGGCGGATTCCTTTTTCTAAAACAGATTAAACTGCATGTAACCCGCAAATTTTGATTCAATACAACAACTAACATAAGATTATTCCACATTTGGTAGAGAAACAATAACATAAGGTTAAAATAAATTTTAACTAGTAAAATTTGAACTCAAAATGTCTAGCTTTTAGGATTGTAATCTTGATTACGAGACCAAGACCTTATTGATTTCTTTGAATTAAGTAATTAATTATATAAATAAAATACATTAAATAAATGTGCATGTTCATATATACTTGAGGGAAAGTTGTATCACAAATTAAGTCTATTACAATTTCTGAATTTGCGATACACTTAATTAATTTGTATAAACTCTAGAATTTTGCCAGTGCCTTAGCACGGTCCCTTTTCTTATTTATGTGAATTTATACAAATATGAATATTTTAAATATGAAAATTAACAACAATCATACATGTTCATTCATATTAACTTTAAAAATTAATGTATTCTAAATGTTTAATTATTTACTAATTTTTAAAAATTTGTTCACATAATTTCACTAAAATATGATAGTATATATCAAATAACGTATCCCATATCAAAAACTTGGTAGATATTCTTTTTTTTTATAAATATTCTTTTAGATAATTTAAATTTTTATAATGACTATAAATCTAGAACTATATATTCACATTTAATTAAGTAGAAAAGATCCAATAATCCAGTTTTTTTCATCAATAAATATTTAGTTTTCAACAATATTGGTAAATCTGTTGATATAATAGTTAATTCTCTTTTTTGTACTAAGTTAATTCAAAATTAAGGTAAACTATGATGAACAATTTAAATACTAATCAATGATATGGTAGCGAAAAGAAGTAATTTATGGAATATATAAGATTTTAATAAATGTGATTTGAAAAAGGTTTTACTCTAGTTCTATGTAATAATTTCATAGAAAGCATTAAGATAAGATTAGTTATTTTAAATAACATTAAGATAAGATTAGTTTTTTTAAAATTAGGGATAATTTTTAAACATATAATATAATATTCAATATGGGTAAAACCCAAATGACCCAAAATTCATTAATTCTCTTCAATTAGGCATGCTACATAGGAATAAGAAACAACTCTAATTATTAAAATAGTTACTTTCATATATATATATATATATATATATATATATATAGATACTAAAAAGGCCTTGATATAATTGTTAAAATTGAAATCTCAAAATTTAGAGATCTTGAGTTCAAAAAGCCCTTCCTCCACTCTATTTCTTAAGTCTCACTTCTCCCCCACTTAAATTTTTTTTTAAAAAAATAAAATCTAATCATGTTTTTTAAAAACATATACATGCTATGAATGAGAGGAGACCAATTTTTCCAATATTTTTGCTCATCTGTTTGAAGAGAAATTGATTTCAAAATGAGGTAACTTCATTGGTCATATATCAATTTTCTGATTTTGTTGCACGTACTTGAATTTGGCATGTAAGAATCAAGGGTTAATTTCACTTTGCACCCTTCAACTATACCCAATTTCTACTTTAATCTCTAAACTTTAAGTAGGACACTTTAATCCATAAAATATAAAAATAGGTCCTATATAAGTAAATGTTATCCCACTATAGTTCTTAAAGAATAAAATTTTTTATACTTTAGACCCTAAAGTGGGTCTAAAGTGGGCACATTTTAAAATGTGCCCACTTTCTATACTTTAGGTTAAAATTAGATAGATTTTACTTAAGTAGGACATAATTTAAATTTTATGGATTAAAGTGTCCCATTTTGATGTTTAAGAATTAAAGTAAGAACCTATATATAGTTAAAGAGTTTAAAGTCGAATTAACCCAAGAATCAATAAATGTGCTATTAATAACTAGATTAATGTTGACAATATTAGTGGTACTATTTTATGTTGTTAAACTTCTCTTTCTTCTTTCCCTAGAACTTATTCTCCTTTTCTTTTCTCTAAAGCTCTTTCAACCAATACTTCATTTGACTCTTCCCTAGGCTCAGTTCACTGGTGACCTGGATAATGCGTGGCCAAGCTTGGCAATTTTGGGGACCCGTAAGCAGCAGGTAGTGGTGGTTACATGGACGAAACCTCCGGCCCAACGGTACAAATTGAACACAGATGCTAGTGTGGTCAACGGGAGGGCTAGTGGAGGCGGGATACTACGCTACTCAGACGGGAGACTTGTTTTCACTTTTTACAAGGAGTTTGGGGAAAAGGGGGTCCTACAGGCGGAGGCACTGGTAGCATTGGAAGGGTTGCAAGTGTGTGCAGGAAAGGGGATACGGGAGGTTTTGGTGGAGGTGGACTCTGCGGTTCTGGTGTCGCTAGTCAAATCGTCGGCTATAGGAGGCTGGTCGTATTGCAATTTACTGAGGAGGATTCGTTGACTGTTGGATCATGTATCTGTTTCGTTTGAACACATCTTCCGTGAGGCAAATATGGTAGCGGATAGGATAGCTGCCTTGCATGGGTACACAAGTATGGTCTTTGATTCTCCTTATCAGCTCTCACGGGAGGTTCGCGGCTGCTTGGCTTTGGATGCTAGGGAATTCCCGTCCCTTAGACTAGTGCCCGGTTAGGTGGTAGGGCTCATTTTCGTTCTTTCTCTCTTGTCACTTTCTCGATTTCACTTGGAATAAATAAAATGTCTCATTTTGT